ACAATCCCAAAACCCGACAATCCCAAAACCCGACAGCCAACTCCCGACAATCCCAAATCCCGACAGCCAAAATCCCGACAATCCCAAAACCCGACAGCCAAAATCCCGACAATCCCAAAACCCGACAGCCAACTCCCGACAATCCCAAATCCCGACAGCCGAAATCCCGACAATCCCAAAACCCGACAATCCCAAAACCCGCAACCAAAATCCCGACAGCCGAAATCCCGACAGACTAAAATCCCGACATGATAAAAGTAAAAAAAAAAATCAATATAAGTTTTAAAATTTGAGTAAAATTTTACTATATAAAACTTGAGGAAAATATTTATAAAATATTATATTTCACATCAACGAAATAAATCTCTTTATTTTCTCCCCTTTCTTAAACTCTCAACGTTTTCCAAGAAAAATAAATTTAAGTACGGCTTTGTTGTTGGCGTTTTTATAGCATGTACCTCGGCGCAACTCGAAATAATAAAAGTTTATAATAATAAACTCAAGTAATGTTTAAAACCGGAATGAAATAAAATTCAATGAATACAAAATAATATCTCCTTTGCTAAATCAATGTTAGTAAAAATAAAAAATAATATATATCCAGATGAGGTAAAATCTCCATGTTAATATTTATCAATGTATAAAATTTTGAATTTTTTATCATTTTAAGTCTAAGCTGAGGTTTGTTGAGTATTTTGCTTATTCATTTTCTGATTTGATTTTTAGAGATTTTGGTTATGTCTGAATTGGTCTGTTGGTAGTCAAAGGGATTTTGGTTTGTCGAGATTTCCTCTCTGTTGGGAATTTGATCCGGGCCCATATATATATGATATTAAAAAAATATATTTTCCTTTATAGAATATATTCCGACCTAATATATCATCAGCAGGCACAATCCATTGTTTATCAATGTGATTGTTTTATTGTTACCATCTCCTATGGCCTACTTTTTATTATTTATTTCGATTTTGTAGGTAGGGTAGTAGTTGAAAAGCGATTTAACTAAGATGTTGTTTAGTTCTGAGAAAAGAGTATCTTTCTATGACAAGAAAGATAATCAGATCTAATACAATCTGATCTTACACAATCAGGTCCATGTCAGACACTACAAAACGCTTATCTGTCGGTCTAAACTCGCCTAGCGAAGTAATTAAGTATTTATTGAACTTTGCCGGTATGAGAATAGCAATCATAAAAAGACACCTATCCCATCCAATTCGACGCAGTAACTATGTGGTGACATTTATTGACCCTCTCTACAAGTTAGTAGACTCGTGTCAGGACAAATCCACCACACCAGCTTTGGAAAGTTCAGAACGCCCACCTGGATATCATAGTTTCAGACTATGGCCTTGTCAGTCTAAAGTGACCTTGATTTAGTATTATTTACAAAGGATTAAAATCAAATCTTCCAAATTGGTCAAATATCTCTTAGATGGCAAAGTGATCGGTTAATTCTAGGGCCGAATTTCACGCACAAATGGGCGTTCCGAATTTGCCAAATCTGGTGCGGTGGTTTTGTTGCTGCTGATTCAATTCGGATAGTTTTGAGAGACGGCCAATAGATGGCACATCATTTTTCTGCCTATTTTTACGGGGGTGGTGCCTCTTTTATATTTTATAATATAAATTTGAAATAAAACATCTCTCTCTCTCTCTATGTTGTTATATTATAGTAAAAAGGTCAAATAAACATATTCGCTAGATAGCAGCGGTAAGGCTGAAATTTGCCTGGGGCTGTGATTTTCTATTTACATACGTTTGCAGCCTAATCACTTCTAATAAGAAAGTCAAGGAGACGGAAGGGAAAGAAAATATTTTAATATCAAAATTCATATCGTTCAAAACCAAAAAGAACTTTATCAAAAGCTGAAATGTGTGTATATGCTTTCGTGGTCTAAACTCTTATAAAGATTAAATTGGTGAATCTACAAGCTTTTGAGATGTATTGTCAAGGAATTATATAAGAATACAATGGACTGGCAGAATAATAAAAAATGAAGATGCCTTGAGAATGATCGCGAAGCGAGATATAGTCTTCTGAAAATGATTTAGAGAAAGAGCATGTTTAGACATCTTGTCCTACACTCGGGGTGAATAAAGAGAAGCTGAAGCCTGAAAATGGAATTCTTGGACAATTCTGGGAGAAAACTCAACGATACCATACTCTACTATCCATAGAAAGAAGCTTTGAGAGGGCTAGGATACTGCCGGCCAACCAACCTATGGCTAGTTGAAGGAGTATGTTTCATATCCCTTCCATTGATGCCTGTTATTTTATATGAATGAAATGAAGTAGTTTTGATTAAAATTAAATTGCATTGTTATCACTAAGATTGTCATTTCGACATTTTCTACCTTACATTTTATGTTTTTGGTCTTATTAAATGAGGAACACATAATATGTAGTACACAACAATTACAAACAGCTTTACGCCTTGTAAGGATTCGTGGTGCATCAATGATTATTTAAGAAGCAAAATAGTACAAATGTGATATTGCACTTGGATAAGGTGCATAAATTATGAAAAAAGACTTATACTTATCGTGCAACTGAAAGTTGCTGATGGCTTGCGCCATCTATCGGAATAAATATCAACTATTATCGTTGAATTTTAATTATTCCAGAATTGGCTAAATACCCATTCTTGATTAATCAAGAAAAGCTAACCACGTACACGTTTCGGGCTGTTGGCCCTCATCAGCGTGGTTCAACGTTGAGGTACAGCTCGCTCCACGCTGATGAGGGCCAACAGCCCGAAACGTGTACGTGGTTAGCTTTTCTTGATTAATCAAGAATGGGTATTTAGCCAATTCTGAAATTATTAAAAATAAACAAGAATAGTTGATATTTATTCCGATAGATGGCGCAAGCCATCAGCAACTTTTAGTTGTACGATAAGAAGATGCCTTTTTCTTTTTCATAAGATCGTTTTTACAATTCTTTTGTAATATATTCAGCTGTCATTCTAATTAGCTGAGTAGACCGATATATACCTCAGGAATACTCTACAAAATGTTTCCTCTCTCCTTCTCCATATGGCTGCATAGGTTAAGTAGTGTGCCATTACGTTTATAGTCTTTATTCCGCAGAGCTGGCATATCTTCTATCTTGATTAGTTGGATATTTTATTAACATTTATGTTATTCCCATTTGAGTAATAAATCCTATTACGGTTGAAGGAATTCTCCAGGAAAGGTCTTTTTGGGGGGTAAATGATTTGAACATTAGAGTTTATACTTATAAATGACTGCGGCGTATAATTATAAAGCTATACAACCAGTTTAACCGCATAAGTTTCTATATATATATATATTAGAGTTTATATTTGGATATACTTCAAATATACTCGTATTCTATCCTCTTGCCAGATCTTACTTAGAAGCTGCTGCTGCTTCCCATCTAATTACCAAATTTAGATCGAAGTTAGAGTCAATATAATCTTTATTTGGTAAATTCTTGTAGAGTATAAACCAGTCTTTAGTGTCAATATTTCTTGGTATCGGGATTCTTTTTATGAAGGTTACTATGGATTTCCAAAATTATTTGTGATCCCAGACATTCGTTATTTCGTTTTCCGCCTATCATTTTGAGATAAAGAGTTAGCAAAATTTGTTCTTTTTCCTTCATAATACTCATATACTCTTTCCGCCTTTCGAGGAATTTATCCTGTCTTATTCTAGTTTTGATTTAATATAATTTTCAGATTTAATTCAAACGTATTCTCTTTCATCAGTTGACTTTTTTTTATCCTATCATGGCTTTGGAAGTTTTGTAACCAAAATTTACTTTTTTAGATATTTTTGCTGAATACATTACTCGACTGAATTTATCATTTAGGGTTTCAGTCATAATATCGATGCGACAAGGTTATTCATCTCTTCTAATTTATTATTATAATTTTAAAGTTATTTTCAGTAATTCTGAATTTTCTACAATCCATATGAATTTTTCACGGAAGTTTCTCTATTATTTGTTTAAGATTGAGAATATTATTATTTATTCATTTATAATACAATGAGAAAATGGTCATTTTAGGGTTTCTTCCATCCACATGTCGAAGATATTTTACCTTGTGTCAACATAAAATATATTTAATGAGAACTTATTATCATTCAACTTTGACCTAAAGCCCTTTTCGAAAAGTTATTTTATTTTCCCTATTAGTAAACAGAGTCGTTCTCTAACATGTTTACTATAATCTTATGTAAATTTTTCTGTGTTTTTATCTTGGTTGTATTTTGAATTTTTTTTCTATCTTCATAATAAGGGAACCACTGATATAATAAGTGATTTTTTGCCTTTCGAAAGCCTCTGAAATCTGGTTATATTTATCTCATTTGTAATTTGCATTTTTTCTTCTATTATGGTTTTGAACTTCTGTGAAGACATTTGGCTAGCCTTTCGTTTTCTTTTCTCAACTTCATAGAAAACCATATTTTGTTTGCGCAGTCTCACCTCCATAAATTCCGCCCTATTTCCTAATCACTTATTTTGACAACATTCCTAGAAACTAATTCATCTGCAACCCCCATTTTATCCAAACAAGTTGTAAGTCTTCTTTCTAAGCTTTGAAGTCTCACTCTCCTATTTTTACCTCAATGTGTGATAGTCTTGAATCAATTCTGTTACCAAGGTTTTTCAACCTCTTCTGATATTTGTATGATCAACAGCTTTACTTCACCCTCCACCGATTCTTTCACCGCGGCTGAAGAAACTGTAACATTGTTCTGGTAGGATGACCAACGTCTATGCCACCAATGATTATAAATATGACAATAACGCCGATATAAAAGACGATAGATAACTTGAGCAGAGTTAAAACAGAAAGCTTCATAACAACTATTATATACTAGCCGAATGACCCGAGGAACGCCCGGGTTTTACCCGATTAAATGCTTTTATTCAAATACTATTCGTTACAATTATAAATTGGCGCCGTGGATGTCATTCTTGTATAATATGTAAATGAGTTTTAAAAATTGTAAAAAAAAAAAAATGCATCGGCCGGGAATCGAAACCGCCCGTGTGGCAGGCGAGCATTCTACCACTGAACCACCAATGGTTATGAGAAATGGCCATATTTGGGTATTTATTCCATTCACAAAGCAAACGGTGACAGAATTGATTAAGAATTGTTGCTGATTATGACGCTGATAACTGAATATTTTATTCTCCAGTTGTGTTTGGAAAGTTGTCTATTTTAGTAATTTAGGCTCCTTTAAACATTTTAGAAGATATATAGTGAACACCAGAGGTATGTTAATTTCATTATTTGCATCTTAATTGCCTTTCTCGTTTCCTCCCCCTCCTTTTTTCCATTTAACCTTCTCACCCTATGAAAAATAGCAATTTGAGAACAAGCTTAAAATGCTATCAGTTTCAATTTATCAGGTAGAACAAGAATAAAGGTAAAATAAGAATACTTATCCAGGAGCGAGGCTGGTGCGGTTGACTTAGGTTTGCCTCCTAGCGGTGACGAAATCATAATATTATTTTATTTAAAACTAGCGGATGTACCCGGCTTCGCCCGGGTTTTACCCTAGTGAAAGTTTACCTAACGAACAATTATTAAAACAATTCTAGAAAACATCCAATCCCTACTGAATCTATACTTGGCAAGATAACTTTATGTTTGATTATCTGCTCCACCTAGCTGTACCCGTTCAAACGTTGCTGTCTTTGAACAAAAAGGCAGTTTTAATACCTAAATAATAATTTATTAATGATCAAATGTATACAATACATCAAAATTAAAATTAACAATAAAATTATCCCTACATAAATGTCATTTAAATATAACATATGTAAAAAATAATAGATATATTTTGATAATTAGAAACTCGTAAATTTAAATCTCTCGATAAAGTGAACATTTTTTCCCGGTCGATAAGTTGAATAAAATCAATATTAATTATCATTATTCTTGTCTCAAATAAATTGCCGTGTCATCCTGAATTTTGTCTTTTCTAATTTTCTACATTACAAAATCATCATTTTTATCTATTCTCCCAATATATATGTTGTAGATAAATGATAAAACAAATTTGACTTGTACGCAATTAATAGGTAGAAAATCTTACTTTTGATAAATAATCATCATCATTTAGTTAAATCTACAAATCTGCAAATAACTCTAAAGATATTCAAGATATTCAAGAAATTATTTTTCAAAAATCTTCCCAGGGATATACCTAATAATATCCCAAAATTTCACGGCGATTGGATGTATGGTTTTTGATTCTATAGAGTACAGACAGACAGACAAACAGACAGACAGACATTCAATTTTATATATATATATAGATAAAATAAAGAATATCCTGACCACGATAACATGAGCTTTTTATATGGCAGAGCGCCATCTAGTGGAACAGAAATAAACTAAACGTTGATTTAGCCTGTTCCCTGATATTTAGCCAACCCATTTTCTTGATAAATCGCTCTGCCATCTAAAAAGCTCATGTGCTCTTGGTGAGGATATGTCTTTTTTGATTTTTTTTTACCAATACCTGACCTTTTTATTTTATTATTTTTCACCTTATTTAGTATAAAACACATTTATTATCTAACTATAAGGAAAAAAACTGAGCTAGCACTATCAAATTCTATTTATTCTTAAAAAGAATAAAATATATAGATCAGTTTTCCAATAACCATTCCAACATTGGGAAGGCAGTTTGCATGTTAATGCTAATATATTACTGACATGAATTAATAGGTATTAAAGCGCTCACATTCATATCATTTCATCATAAACAGCTCCTGACTACATGTAAAACATTGGAAGCGATCCCAGGAAAATGCGAGTCGTCATTAAGAAGCTGGTTGCTATTTGAACCCTCGCCGCCAAACAAACCACTGAATTATTCAGAGACCAATTACAGTCCTCGGTAAATTATTGATGATCTCAGCTCTTCTCTCATTCTTGCGTTTATAGACTTGTTCTTCCACGTTAGATTTCAGGTGATAAATGAATATAAAGTGTACACACATCGCCGCCGCTATATCTTCATACTCAATTAGAGGATCACAGCTTTTTTTATTATCTATTTAGCTAGTTGAAACTCTTAACGCAATTTAGCGATTTTTGTTATTGGGCCTAAAGGTTGAATTCCATTTCCTGATAATTAAAAAAGAATCAAAAAGTGCTGTGATTTGGTTATAAATAAGTGCACCCCTTAGAAATTCCACACATGAATTTTTTTTTTTTTTGTTTATAAGGCAAATATATTTTTAAGTATTCAATGTATTAGCGAAAAATATACAGGGTGTGTCTAAAAGGTTCGGACAATGACTTTGTGAGAAAATATCAAATGATCAAATGTTTATCTTAATATAATGTAGTATTTTGTCTTTCAAATGATGAAATCTTTCCAAAAATGAACAATTTTTCAACAAATATATCAATGGCTAAAACTTCAGAAAACAGAAAAAAAAATAGGGCGAATATCGGAATAGGTTTTTACTGGTTGAATTACCAATTGATGACTATAAAATAACGTGATAATTCCATAAAGAGACAATGCTTTCCTAAAATAATTATTTTAGGTGACACTCTGCGATATCAGAATGGAAGAAAGCTACATAGAATATGCCTAGGTCAAGAAGATCAAAAGCTCCACACCAAGGAATGGATTGAAAAAGTCAGGCAAATGAAATTTTTTGATAGAATAATTAATGTAAGACAATACAACAACAACAAAAAGCTTTATTAAGACCTTTTAGTCTTATACAGATTCTCCAAGCAGAAATGTAGGATACATGTAGGAAAACAGTAATAATACCTTGTGTGTGTGTGATGGTAATATGATATTTATATATAGGATAAATTATATAAAGATAATCAAGATAATAAATTAGTCTGGGTAAATTAAAAAAAAAAAAGAAATTTATTATACATGGATTTACCCCAGATTCACCGCAAATGAAGGTAAAAAAGCAAAAGCTAATCACAATCAATATTGAGATAATGAAATTTATACATTGTAATTAAGACAATTGAGCTCATAAACATATTTGAAAGGATAAATCCGAGAAAAAGAAAAACGTAGTTAATGTAAGAATGAATAAAGAAGAAATACAAGCAAAATGTACATGTACATAGCAAAATAATAATGAACATCACATTTCGACACAAATTTAAACAATGAAAAAAGATGTGTGGTTGAGAATTGTGCCCCAGATTCTGTGCTCCGACGAAAAGAGGAATCACAAAGACTGTTGCCAGGATGCCCTGAGTCTTCATAAACGGGAGAACAGCTTCATTGACCGAGTTGTCACAGGAAACGAAACATGGGTTAACTCTTATGTACCAGAACGTGAATGGATAGTGAGTACGCTCATCCGCATTTGTGACAATAATCTTCGAGAACTTCCTGCGCGCCTCGGAAAAAAGGGGAAATTTCACCAAGAGAAAGGGTTTATGGTGCGGCGTTAGGCGTCACTCCGCTGGGTATCTTCTGGTCGTCGGTCGAGCTGAATGCACTGTGGTGCAATGACTGTGTGTGCTATGACTGGGAGTACTCCTCACTAGCAGGCCGACTTGGATCTAGTATTAAAATACTATTTGGAAGCTATTGTAAATCGCTGCCGGGGAGAGCCTCTGCAAGACCCCATGCATGCTATTCCAAATAAAAATGGGTTTAAATGCTAACATCCTTATATAAGATTTATGAATTTTCTTTAAAAATATTTCTATTCTCAGTTTTCTATAACATAAATTTACATCGTGATTACAAGGGCCTGTACATTTTCAGCTGAATCAATGGAGTACAAATGAGAGTCAAATAATCGCTGCAGGGTTCACAGATAAACTTATCGAGTTTAATAAGAGAAAGCGGCAACATTTTATAGGCCATTTTTTTTAAATGAAGGGAAAATAATTAATAGCAAGAATAAAAAAGGAACAGAGGTATACGTAGAAAGTGTCCAATATCAAAATGCCATTTAGCAGATACTAGAAAAAAACTATCAATAGATTATCTAAATATAGACAAAAATAAATTAATACTAACTAAAAAATGGCATGAACTAATCGCAAAAGAATAATAAAGAGAGAATTTCCTCAATTGGAACAAGGTTTAAGCATTTGGCTTGAAGTAATGAGACAACAAAATTGAACTATTGTTAATGACCTGTTGAAAAAATGCAATTTTTGTCCTAGAATTGGAAATAGACTAATGCTAGGGGGGTAATTTGAGAGAAGAAAGAAGAAATAACGTTTATTAAAAATCTATTTCTGTTGAAAATGCAACTATATATAAAAACGACATTGAAAAAATAATGGGAGACTTCAGGACAAAGATATCTTCGGTACATTCGAAACTATTATAGATGCGTATGATTCTTTTTAAAAATTAAACAATATCTACTGCCCTTACTGTAATGGAAATAATTAATGGGAAGGCCTGGCTCAATATTAATTTTTCCATTGCAGTATGGATAGTAGGTATTGTTTAATTTTTAAAAGAATCATACGCATCTATAATAGTTTCGAATTTTCATAATAGATGTCGCGCTAATGTATCACAATATGTTAAGAACGTTTGGATTAAATAACATTTAGGATTGTAACTATCGCATTCAAAATTCGTGCAGCATAAAACTTCAAAAGAAAGAATCTATGTCGTGTTCGCCTGCAAAATATGAATGGAAAAGAAAAACTTCTTTTATTAGTAATAAGCAAATCAAAAATATATAGTTATTTTAGATGTAATTGTTTGATCATTATTTTACTAGATAAATGCCTGGAGTATAGGAGCTTCATCTATGCTTCCTTCCTGTGGTGAATCTGTATAAGACCGGTGGTCTTAATAAAGCTGTATGTGTGTGTGGTAAAATTTTAATAATATAAATGTCATAGTTTAATTAACCATATTTAATATTGTATAAAATACAAGGTGTGTCCAATAAATAATGAGACTGGTCAAAAATAAAGAAAAAATAGAATGATTAAAAATATTTTATTAGTATTTTTCAAAATAGTCCCCTCCCGCATCTATACATAATTTCCATCTCTTCTCCCATGATTTGAAACATTTAGAAAAGGCATCTTTCGGGATG